TACTGGTGGGCACTGGGGTTACTGGTGGGCACTGGAGTCATTGGGATGGGCACTGGGGTCACTAGGATGGGCACTGGGGTCACTGGGGGACACTGGTGGGCACTGGGATGAACCCCAGTGGGCACCGGGACAGGAGGGGGATCCCAGGGGGGTCCCCAAACCCCCGTGGGGTGAGGGAGGGTCTCACCTTGGGGGTCTGACCCCTCACTTTGCCGGCGCGGGCGAGGGATCCGTGGACCTTCCCTGGGTGGGGGGGGAACAAAAAGGGGGTTGGGGGGGTCTGTCAGGCTAATTAGGGGGTGTTAATTAAGGGGGGGGCGTTAATTACCCCCCAGCAGGCGCGTGGAGAGCTCCAGGGTGGCCAATTCGGGGAGGGGGCTCTGCCCCAGCACCGTCCCATCGTCCAGGGGGCTCCCAGCCCAGAGCAGCACCTGGTCCTGGGGGGGCACCCCCGACAGCTCCGCCACCTTCTCCTGGGGGGGGGAAATGGGGGGGTCAGCACCCCAAAAAATGGGGGGATCAGCACCCCGAAAATGGGGGGGTCAGCACCCCAAAAATGGGGGGGCAGCACCCCAAAAATGGGGAGGATGAAACCCCAAAATGGGGGGGCTGCACCCCAAAATGGGGGGGTCAGCACCCAAAAAATGGGGTGGCTGCACCCTGAAAATGAGAGGGCAAGGACCCCCAAAATGGGGGGGATAAAACCCCAAAATGGAGGGGGCTGCACCCTGAAAATGAGAGGGGAAGGACCCCAAAAATGGGGGGGATAAAACCCCAAAATGGGGGGGCTGCACCCTGAAAATGGGGGGGCTGCAACCCTAAAAGTGGGGGGGCAGCACCCCAAAATGGGGGGGATGAAACCCCAAAATGGGGGGGATGAAACCCCAAAATGGAGGGGGCTGCACCCTGAAAATGGGGGGGCAGCACCCCAAAAATTGGGGGGGCAGCACTCTGAAAATTAAGGGGGTTAGCACCCCAAAAACTGGGGATCAGCAAACTGAAAACTGGGGGGTCGAAACACCAAAAACAAAGGGATCATCAGCCCGAAATTGAGGGGTGTCAGAACTGGGGAGGGGAAAGACCCCCCAAAATTGGGGGGGGGGCTCACCTTGACCTGGGCGAGGGTCTCGGATTCGGAGACCTGGAGGGTCAGCAGGGTCTGGGCACGCACGAAGAGCTGCATGGTGGGGGCTGGGGGGGGGAATTTGGGGGGG